CCCCAAAACCCCAAAACCCCAAAGAAATTTAATAAGCAGGTGAATTTAAGACACATTGAAATACAAATTATAAGTATAATGATGTTTCTTTAAAATATAATAAAACTGGATTGTCTGTCTGCTCTGACTTCTGGCTCACTTTAAGGTACATGAGGTTTTGGATTGTGTATCTTATGAAACTGTAAGCGATTCTCTTTCAAATTTTTCAACCTAACCTACCTTAAATATTTTGTCCTAAATTCGAATGCAAGCAGGATCTCTGTCATTATTTAAGCAAGTTCCCTCTCATTTTCAAAAAATACTTCAAACTTCATCATGAAAATCTATTAAGCGTACTTGTTGATTATCAATATTCGTCTTTTGGCTAACTTGTCTTCTCTAGTTCCAAGACTTTTCTTTGTCTCTAACTCCAAACAATACTTGATCTTCTTTTTCTACCTATTTGATAATACCAAATTGGCCCTTTAGAGGTATTGCTGGCCACTTATTTGTTTACTCTTCTAGAAATTGCTTCCGAGATGCACTCTCATTTTTTAGTCATATCTATTCTCTAATACTTAGTCCAATAGCTCAGAGTTTGTTTCGTTTCCTCCTCAAATGCTGCTGAAATTCGATCCCAAGCAACTAATATACTCTTTACTGTGTAATTCTCATTAGCCTTATGGATTGTCAAAATTGATTCCATAGCACTCCTCTTCCCTTCCCTTCCAGTGCAGTAGTTTATTTTCTTGAGATGAATAGTTGTATTAAAAATTTGGCCTTGATCCAAAAGATCTATTACAAACGTCCCCTGAAAAATTTCGTTTAAATCAAAATTTGTTTGAGTTTATGTTGTATTTTTTCAAGATCATTTGAACTATGCTATCTATTATTTCCAAGTTCTGCAATTATGAATGTTGTTTAACAGTAGAAATTTAATCTATACGCCGACTTATTTCTCAACTTTATTATTTATTTGCTTCACAAGATAAATTTATTATTTTTCATAAGCTATGTGATATTTTCTACCTATTCTAGAAAGTAAAGTGACTGGTTCTTTAGGATAATGGAGTATTATCCGATTGTCAAAAAGCATAAGTGAATCTATCCGTCTCATCAATCAGTATTTGTTTCTGTTAAACTGTCAGTACAAAACAAAAATTTTCTCTCACTTTTGATTTGGTTACTACATTATTCCATTCTTTAATTTATGAATTTACTAGTAGCTTGAGTGCATCTCGATTTTTAGGTAGACATCAGATTTCCTTTAATTTATATGAAGCTATCACATTTGTGCCCCAGTCATAAAAGTATAGACTAAAATCTTAGTTTAGTAAAAATGCTTGATTCACGATTGGAAGGTTTCATCAAAACTACATATTTTATCCTTAATTGCTTGATTATTGATTGAAAATAGACTTTCCATATCTTTGTCATATTGTCCATCACATAAAATCATATATACCGCGTGACAGTGAGCTATTATTTAGGACAGGATAGGAGAACTTTAATGCTTATTGTTCCTATTTTCAATCACTCTAACCTCAACTTCCTTATTCTTAATAAGATTGAAGTTTTATAAGCTGTTCTTGTTGCATATGGAGACTTTTTCTTAAGTTATTGGATGTCTCATTAATTTTTTCTTCTCCATTTATTAGAGTTAACTTTATCAGAGTATGTTTTAAATATTATTATAAATATGTAGGACAATCTTTGTCTTTTAAATTGCATTTAAGTTTTGAATTTACTCCAATTGTCAAACATATTGTTTTGTGGTGGGGTTTTGGGGTTTTGGGG